GCTAGATGATCTGTTCAGGCCCCTCCTGACCCTAGCTACTATGAAACGTCTTGCACAATAAAATCTATTATACTGTTAAGGCATACTGTTTTGCCCAGGGCAGTTGGTTTGAACAATATCCCTAAAAATCTCATCTATGCCAATAATTCCCTGAATGTTACTTCAGTTCTCAAACACAATGATCCAACTCTGGATAGTTTATCTTTTCTGGATCAAAATAATGCTTGCCTTTAGATAAGGAATGTTTTAGACCACACTCCCAGTGTTACAGCCTGTAAATGTTACGTAGTTTATTGCTGCAGAGAATCCTACATTCTGCAAAAGCCAGCTTTAGGTGCCTGGGGTCCATCTCAACTCATTCCTCTAATCTTTTGGATAATTATAGCTATAATTGTCCTTCAGAAAAAAAACAGACAAATCAGGTAATAGGATACCTGTGTTGGACAAGTGAGGTAAAAATACTGTTACTCTATAGATAAGATTGATCTTCATGGAGGAGTATATGGTATGCCACCCTGATAATACTTAACCCTGAGGCTGCGATTTGGGGGCCTCACTTCCTTCTGAAAATCCCAGCACAAAACGTTCTTTCTTGTGATTTTCCTTAAAGCTAGTTTCTTGTATTAAAAGGAAGTATTAATCCTATACAGATTTCCCTCACCAACCACTGGGGTTAGGTTCCTGAAAATTGCCGTAGTTAAGAAAACCATGGTTGGCAAGACAAAAAGCTTATGGGAAAAATGGCAGGTGGCAGGCTGATGCGCAACCACAGGAAACCGTGATTACTCAAAATTGTGTATCATGGTAGCCAAAATGGTATACAGGTTTCCCTTGATTTATGCAGGTTCTTTCTATGCGAATTTGCTCTTATGCAATGAGCATATTGAGACCCATAATTTGTTATATGCAAGGTAAATTTACTCTTATGGGATCGGCATAGATGCCCCTCCACCCCAGCAAGTAAGTCTGTGGGGGGAGGGGAAAGGACTGTGGCCCCACTCACCCCAGTCCTGGCTGCAGTGGCCTTAGGCACTTTAGTGCAAGCTGATTCCATGTTGCTCAAGTTCCTGAAAAACTGTTAATACAAAAAGTGGGGAGTCCTCTTTCTCTTCCTCCCTGCTTCTTCATGATGCAGTCTGAAGGGTAAAATGATGGTGTTACAAGAGTAGATGCATTACTGGATTTTCAGGGACTGAACAAAGTTAAACAGAATTGCATTTAGGTGCCTAAAACTACCTAGATGCTCCAAAGGTAGCATAGGATCAGGCTGTCAATATTCATCGGTATGAAGCAAATTAACTGAATACACTGTAGCCAATACAAAAAACAGAGTTCAAATCCTGATACAATTGCAGTTTCATGGCAGATCCAGTAGTTTTTAGAAACACTGGTTCTATTATGGTTCAGTTAGAACAAACTGGATCTTTCCCACTTCAGATCAAAGTGTCCAGTTGTGGGCTTATAAATGTCAAGAGTGTAGCCAGTTACCCTCAGCACAGTTTGCTTGGCTATTTAAGTGGATAGCCATTTTAGCATCTGGTCTGGCTCCATGCTTACTTCCAAATTTATTAGGGATTTTTTTTGGTGGTAATCTCTACGCCTGTGTAGTGTTTGCAGAATCAGGCATAGACTTTTATAGCTGTGACATTTTTATTTTAGAGCACTTCAGCCTGTTTATATTCCTTTTCACATGATTAGATAAATAATCCCAAATGAAATTTTTTTTCAAAACATTTTTCATACCAAAGTAAACTGAAAATAGTGAATTTACAGTATTATTTCACCAGTGTCATTTGGGACAATTTGTTTGTCTGCTTCCACCTAGTGGGAAAAAGGAAAATCACTACCCATCTCAATCTAATAATGTCCCAAGGCTGAATGAGATTAAGGTGAGATGCCTCCTACACATGAACAGTGCATGTCCCTGGCGGCTGGGGAGGCACGGCTGTGCCGGCGGTGGTAGGAGCGTGGTGGTAGGAGCCCAGCAGCAGTGAGCGGGGAGCTCCTGCAGATGCCACTGGCACTGTTGGCAGCGGGGGGCAAGTGCTGACCAGGAGCGGCCAGGGGCGATCGTGGACCACCTGCAGACAGTGGCGGTGATGCCTTTTTGCAGGGGGTGCACCTGTGTGCACCCCCTATGTGTCGCCCCTGCTCCTATGTGTATCTTCAGAGAAAAAACAGGGTTCACATGTGCTCATGCTTTACTGGCTATGACAGGCTTACTTCTCTTAGTTCTCTCCCAGCTAAGATGACTAGAGTTTGAGAGTGGACCTGTGGCAAAGGTAAATTGGGTATGGGAATGTACATATGGGAGCGTGGCAAAGAAAAAATGTATCTTCTTTTCAATCCTGTAACCTCTACCCTTACAGCACCCCTTTCCAACTAGATTTCCACATTGGACTGTGTAATTTTCTCTACAAACATGGCAGGGAGCTTGGGGAACTGGGGGAGCACAGGAGGGAGATGTGCAGGCCTGGGGGCAGGACTGTAAGGTATCAACTGGTGACAGACCCAGGGGAGACTGGTCCTTGAGGATCACGTAGATTTGCTGAGCCTGTTACTGGCTGAGCTTTTTTTTGGTGGTTCCTGTTACAGCAAGAGAAGCAGGATGGCTCATTGCTTTGAGCCAGCATGAAAACCATACCCTGCTTACTTCATCAAGTATTTTACTGAAAGTTCATTAACTATCATTGTGTACATTAAATTGGACTAATAATCAACAGAAAATTAGTTTCTCTCTATAAAGCACCACACAGAAAGAATATAGTCATATGATGCTGAAAAGATCAGAAATGGTAAAGACAAACTGAGGCATCAACAAATTTCCAGCAGCATTTAAGACATGATACTTTATCAGGTCCTAACTTTTGCATGTAGCATATTTGTTTTCTTGCTCCATTATTTCGTTTTTAATGGCTGTTACTTGATCCTCTAGTTGCTTTAGTTGATCAGCCTTATCTTGTCTAGATTGATTCAGATCTTGGAGCTTCTTTTCCAAATCTGTAAGAGGAAAGTGACATTTAATAATATTTAATATTGTGTAAATAATATCTGGGGATAAAATCCATTTTCTTCGCATATCATTTTAGAAAAACAATCATATTTCTAAAAGGAAATGTTTTATGCAGGCTTGGAATGACAGGTTTTGTTTTGTTTTCATTTCTATTACACCAGTCATCCTAGTAGGGCATTGGATTCGATGACCTTGCGAAGTCGCTTCCAGGCCTACTTTCCTATGATTCTGTAGCAGCTGGGTTTTGGAATGGCTGTGGAATGCTCCGAAATAATGGAACTATTTTTTTCAGGATGTTTTTAGGTTTATTCTCTTTTGTTCCTCTTCTTTCGCTTCCTCTTTATCCTGAAAAAATTGCTTCCAGGGTTAATTTCCTTTTTTCTGTAATATTTTTATGGATTCAACATAGTAGGTGCATATCCATTTTGGGGCTCAACCCTGTGCCATTGCAAGAGCAATGACAGAATTATCATGCCTTTCAGTAGAAACAGGATTGGGACCATTAGGCAGAACTCTGCTATATGTTTTGGAGATTTGCTCATGTGGTGACATTACTGAAACTCTTATTCATATTGTATGTGACTACAGTAGAAGTAAACAGCTATGGGGGGCCGATGCTGAAGCAGATTTTCTACAGAGGCTCCCAGGTACCAAGGTTTTCATTCATCTGTATTTTGAAAATGTGCACAGAGTCAGTTTAGGACATCAAGAACCTGATCCTGCTGGATGCTTAGCACCCTCCCCTCCTACTGGTTCCAGTTGCAGGCAAGACCTCCTTCCACATTACATTTTTCAAATCTTTTTTCCCCGTTTCCCAAGCAAACCTTCTGATTCCAACAGAAACTGCAGTTACTCGGCAGGATCATGTTTAGAGACTTGGTCTAAACAACTGTTGTCTTAGGTTTCCTTTTAAATCAATTCATTTTATCATTGTAACATCTGGGCCCACACTCTTAAATAGATGTAGGTCTCTTCTACCCTAGAGAGTTTTGCCAGCAGAACTGCATGACTTCATCCATGTTCAAATGTAGCAGCAACCTGCTTTTTGCCAGCAGTTACATTATCTCTGCCAGTGGAATGAGGCATCAGCTAGCAAAAGGCAGGCATGGACCACCCTCCCATAGTTTCTGCCAACTGGTAGTGTTTTCAGCAGCTGCTGCCTTCCCAGGGTGCATGTTGATGACACAGTTGCTGAGTGGATTCATATGGACCCAACAGAAACATCTGGAAGTATATGTGATCTGGTGGCTTGGTGGAGATGGCTGAGCAAGTTAAGTATACACAACACCTTGGACTTGGCTTTAAGAAGTACAGCTTGTGGTGCAAACCCTGTTTTAAGTGATTTAGGTAAATCATTGTAACATGTGTGGGTAGATTATGCCTCTAAGTCAGGGGTTGTCAACTGGGGGTCAGGTGTACTTAGAAAGGTTGTAGGGGGTACATGCGGGTGGGCAGGTGGGGATGGACTGGTGCGTGGTGGCAGCTTCTCCCCTGGGTGCTGCCGGCCCCGCACAGCACACTGTGGTGCCTCCCTGCCCCCTACCCCAGCTCAGTCTCCCGATTGACTGCTATAGGCAGAGAAAGAAAAAAATTGTGGGGGCGGACCACGAGCGCTCCCCAGCAGGTAAGTCTGTGGGGGGAAGGGAAAGGGCCGTGGGGGTGGTTGGAGGGAGTGAGGCTGGGGCAAGCACTGCCCAGGGTGGGGTGGGCGCAGGACAGAGCCGCGGCTTGTCCAGGCGGTGTGGGGAGGGGATGGCAGCCCCTCCCACTGCATGCACCCCAGGAGGCATGTGGGGCATGTGCCCTGGATCTGCATGGGGCAGGGCAGGCTGCCGCTGCAGGCTGGGGCCGGGGCAGCACTGGGCTCTTCCCAGCAGGGGCTGGGCCACACTGTGCTCAGGGCGGGCAGCACCAGCACTGGGAGGGGAGGTTGGGGGCCTACAGCAAATTTTGGGGTGGCTGCCTATGAAGGTACACTTGTATCCTTTCATAGGTAGAAGGGGTACACTTGTTAAAAAGGTTGAAACCCTGCTCTAGGTTGTAGTTTCCACAGTTTTCTTGGGTCTCCCACTGGTGGCATGAAAATGAAAAGTGACACCTGTTATTCTTTTAATTTTTTCTTCAGTCTCTTCAGCTAGTTTCTCTGCTGCTTCTTTCAGCTGCTTCACTTTCCCTAAAGTTTCCTTTGGAAGCCCCTTCCCTTTTAGCTTTTCTTGCAGAATGGTATATTTTCTTTTAAGGTTGGCAAATTCCTATAACAAAAAAAAACAACCAAACAAACAAAAAAAAATTATTCTGTTTAACAATGCACCCTGTAATTAACTTGCCATATATGAAGAGAGCAGGGATTTTTCTACCTCCTTTAATTATCTCACTTGGACCACACCTATGGTCTTTATTCTCTTAAATCCTAAAAAACCCTCACCCAGGACAAGTACACATGGGAAGAAGCTTTGACAATGCAAAAAAAATGGCAGAAATCAAAATAAAACAAACTATTATTTGAGCAGCCCATAATGCAGAGGGGATGGAGATGGAAAGCAAATATCATTTCAGTGAGCTTTGAAAAGCATAAGTTTCCCTAGTTTCTTTTTCTTTAATTGTTTTGTTTACATTTCTTTTTTTTTTTGGCGCACAGCTTAATTTAGCTTTAATAAACTAGCCGTAACACAAGTTTTATAGTTTTGGTTACATAATATTTACTTCCTGGCTCAATCCCTACCTGGTTTAGGGTGCTGTGAGAGCCAAAACTTGATTACTACTGGATTGCTTAGGTTAGGGACAGATATTATGCACAAACTGGTTTAAGTGATCAGAAACTGATTTAAACCTGTAACAGAACAGATGTTCACTGTTTTCTCTAAAGCAGTGGTGCTCAACCTTTAGCTCACAGGGCCATGTCAGCCTACCTGTGGTGCTCCTGATTCTGAAATTTGGCAGCAAAGGAGGAGTTGCCACATCTCTGGAATGTGAAAAACCTGTTTGCAATGCATGGCTCTGGAAGCTGTGGCAATTAATGCTACCTGCCAGTCCCCCACTCAAATTTCTGTACCCCTGGGGAATCCTGCAAGCCAGATGATACGGCCCCTTTCATTGGTGCATAGGGTTGCTCCATGGCTGGATCTGGGTTGTGGGATCTAGCTCATGGACTGGCTCTATACCACTCACCTGGTCCTTAGGGCTGGAAGGAAAGAGCCACTACTCTGAAGGAGAAGGGACCAAGTAAGGCACAGAACACTTGTGCCTCATAGCATAAATAATAATTTACTCTACCACTAACTGACTTTCATTATCACATGAAGTTCTGTTTAGTGCAATCGTTTGTATCATGAAAAGACTCAATACTTGTGTTCATTTATACTGCTATAAGCAAACAGGACTATAATTTGCTGGTTAAATTAAATTAGAAAGAAATGCTTCTGGATCTGTCATAAAGGAAAGGTTGAATCTCAAGAGGACCACAGGAGCATGATTGTGCTGCAACACTTTGTATTGAAAAGTGCAGCAAACCACATAGGAAGGAACACTTTTTTTTCCCTTGAATACTTTACTTTATCAGAGTCCAGAGCTGTTTCCTGTGCCCTTTCTGCATCTGCTTTGGCCTCTGCTGCTTGGTTCTTGTTAGTCACCATATTTGCCTGTAATGTGGCAATTTCATTGTCCAACTGAGACACCTTTTCTGACAAGTCTTCCAGTTCATCATTTCCGTTGTTTACTTGATTCTCAGCCTAAAGGAAAACAATAAGTTTTACACAACATGTTTCCTCACTGCTGAAGGATATTATTACCAAACAATTAACAAGGTGAATCTTCTAAAGTGGATTGGGGGCCATACCTGGGCCAGATTCTCTTATCATTTAGTATACATTTACACCAATCTATCTTTGAGATCTTCGAGCCAATGCAACCTTTGTTTTAGAAAAAAGACTTTAAGAAAAATGTACCCAGAAATACCTGGGAGATTTTTATTCCGATTCCCTGTAGGTCTCCGTTCAACCTGCTGACTGTGTCTTTAGTTTGCTGTTGAGTGTTTTTAGCCTTTTTCAAGTTATTTAGCATTTCATCAGAAGGAGGAAGAGCTTTAGCTGCTTCCCTAAATAAATAATTGCAGTGTGTTAGCATAATAAGACATCCTCAGATGAATCCAGAAATGCACCAATAGAGCCCTATATCCCTGATCAAACAGCATTCATCAGCTCTTTCAAAAAACCCTGGAATTGTGGGTCTCCAAAAGCAAAATGCAACTTCTACCTGTTTCTTTAAAGAAGTTAAAGTTAAAGGCTGATGCTACGGGTGGCTAAGGAGCAGCCCAAAATGTGAACAAAATTTCTCACCTCCGCTCCCCCCCAAATTCCTACGTTGGAAGCAAACCTCCCCATAGCCCAGATATAAGGTCTCAACAGTTCCCAGTTCAGCAGAGAGAGGAGTCAAGATTTAGCAAAGATGTAACCTTTTCTGATTTAGGCAGATGTATGTGGTGAGAAAGGACATGGATCATTACCACTGGAGAGGCTCCAGTGAACATGAAAATATAAAACCTGCTGTGTTCAAAGCCCTAAACTTTATCTTCTTTATAGCCAGCATAACCCCTTCCCTACATACTGATGTGTGACCTCACTAATTAAATATGTTTGTATTGCATGCATTGCAATTTTATCCAGACTCATCACATCAGCAAGAGAAGATTCTACTCACTCTGCTTGTTTAGCTTCCACCAAGAGCGTCTGAGCTTCCTCCACTTGTTTATTTAGTTTGTCCAGATTTATTTCATAGTCCTCACAGTGTGTGATGAGGTTTCTAATTTTCTCAAGTGTATTTGCTAGCTGCTGTGCAGTCCTTGGGAGGTTTATGTGTAAAACATAATTTGCAACCTTTTCTATGTCTTCCGGAGATGCACTCTCATCTTGAAAAAATTGGGGCAGAGTACAGGGTAAAGTGAATCATTAGGTTTAAACATTAGTGCTGTGTCCTATATCCTCTGAGTTATGTCAGACAATAAAGTAGATGAGCACAGCAAGAGGGCAAGAGAATTGTCTCTAACTTTTCATAATGCAGTATAATAATTGTGAGGTGCTGCTCTTAGTTTTGTCAGAAAAGGATGACAAAGGACTTGAACTGGGTTATGAATGCTCCGACTTAGAACCTGGTCCTTCAACATCAGGGTACAACACAGAAAAGCCCATTTCTTTCACCCATTAGATCAGGGGTGGGCAAAATATGGCCCACCGGCCAGATCCAGCCTGCGGGGACCCTAAAAAATTTAGAAAACTAATATTTATCTGCCCCTGGTTTCTGTCAAAGATGACAGGAACCAGGGGCAGTAGAACCCAGGGGAAGCCCCAGCAGGCTTCTGCAACAGGGGGACCCACCTAGCCCTGTCCCCTGCCCAGCCGGAAGCCCCTGCCTAGCAGGGGCTTCTGGCTTGGGTCTGTGGGGCTGTTTGTGGCTGTGCCAGCGTGGGAAATTCAGGTAAGAAGGGAGGCGGGGGGAGGCAGGGGAGGACTGCAGGGATCGCCCCAGTCTTTGGGGCAGATCCAGCTCCTGCTAAGCCCCATGGTATGGCCATGCAGCCAGAAGCCAGTGTGTGGGCGGGAAAGCGGCAGTGGGGGTGGAGGGGAGTGGAAGGGAGTGGGACCATGGAGCCTGTGCTGGTGTCCTGGGTCCAGTGCAAGCAGGCCCCAGAGCGGGGCAGTAGGAGTATGGGACGTGGGCTGGCAGGGGTCTCTGGAGCTGGGCTGGGCTGCACCAGCAGGGAGAGGGGGGAGCTGACCTGGCTTCATAGAGCCCCTGCTGGTAAGGACCCCACGCTCCTGCTGCCCTGCGCTGGGCACTGCTGGTGCTGGGACACTGGCGCGGGCCCCATGCTCCCACCCAGCTACTGCTGGCTCCCACGTGCCCTGTCACTCCCAGTGCCCCAACCCAGCCCTGCAGTAGAGATGGGGAGCAGCGCACAGCCCTGACCCCATGCTTGCCTATGGGGAATGAGCTGATGCTTAGCATGGGGGAAAAGCGGCCTCCCCTCTTCATGGCCAGCGCTTCCTGCTGCAGCCGCTCGCATCCTGCATGGGGCTGTCCTGCCTCTCTGCTGCATCTCTGTCACCCAGGCTAGGAGTGGCAGTGGGGAATGAGCTGGTGTTCAGTGTGGGGGGAAAAACCGCTCCCCTTCTCCATGGCCAGCGCCCCATGCTTCTGCTGGTTGGAGCCCACACGGAGCTGCCTGTGCCTGCTCTTCATTGCCACTCCTGCTCTCCATTGCCACTCCATTGGCAGTGATGTGGTGGAGAGGCAGGACAGCCTCATGCAGGCTGTGAGTCACTGCAGCATGGGGCACCAGCCACAGGTGTGGGGGCGCTTTTCCCCCGCACTAAGCACCAGTTCATTCCCTGCAGGTGAGCATGGGGTCATGGCTGTGTGCTGCTCCCCACCTGTACCACAGGGCTGGGGCGGGAGCACTGGAAGTGAACCGGCACACAGGAGCCAACAGCAGCCAGGCAGGAGTGGAGGCCCCATGCCAGTGTCCCGGGGCCAGCACCAGTGGGGCCCAGAGCAGGGTGGCAGGAGTTGGGGATCCCAGCCAGCAGGGGCTCCATGGAGCCGGGTCAGCTCCCCCCTCTCCCTGCTGGTGCAGCCCAGCCCAGCTCCCCAGACTCTTGCCAGCCCATGCCTTGCACTCCTACCACCCTGCTCTGGGCCCTGCCACACCTTCCCTGGGACACTGGTGTAGGCCTCATGCTCCCACTTGCTTCCACTGCCCCTCACTGCGGCTTTCCCCACATTCCTGCCCGGTCACTTTGCCCTACATGGCTCCCATACCCACATCCATATACACACACACACATCCACACATCCCCACAAACCCCCATATGCAATCACTTCTGCATATACACCACAAACACCCACAAATCAGAATAAAAATATTTTTTAAATTAAATTAAAATACATTATTATGGGTGTTTGATTTTTAGTATGTAATTTGTTTTTTTCCCCCCTAATATGGCAAACCCTCTTCCCCAAAGGAGTACTTCCAGGGGCAAGGGGGAGGACTTCCAATTGCAAAGGTCAGATGTTAGGGGCAGGACTTCCAGTCCCAATGTGTTGCCCAGTGGGAGGGGGGGCACCTGTTAAGGGACGGGGCTACCCATGCAGCCCTCAACAGTTTGCCAAAACTTGGTAAGTGGCCCTCTGCCCGAAATAATTGCCCACCACTGCACTAGTTCAAAGGGACACAAAGGTGAATGCTGTGCAAATGAGAAACTTCAATGTGTGCATATGAAGCCTTTAGGTGTGGAGAATCCTGGGAGCCTAAGGGACTTTTGAAAGGCCCCAAAGCACATGAAAATTCCCCTCTTTCCTTTCCATGCTCAGAGGCAGGTCCCCTCCCCTCTCCTACCTCCCCCCTGCACCTGCTGCTACTGCTTCTCCCACTGTCCTGGTGGCTGGGGAAGCTTCAAAGCCATTGCTGCCTGTTCCAGCCAGGCTACACAGGGTTGGGCTCAACGGGAAACAGTGATGGCGGTAGATGGGGAGAGAGGTTCCCTTTTCCCATGCCTGCTCCCAGGAGGATGGGGGGCAGGAATGCACTACTGCCCATCTCTGATGTTACCATTGTCTCTACCCCAGCTGAGCCCAGTGCCCTCATAACCCAGCTGGAGTCTGCAGGACAAGGTTTGAAGCTTCCCTGGCCCAGGACAGTGGGGAAAGTAGTAGCAGCAGGCAAAGGATGGAAAGAGATGTGCCTCCAAATACTTTTTGGAGGGGATTTTCTTTAGAAAAGTCCCCAGAGGCTTTGCTGTTATGGTCTATCCACACTTGTAGGTACAGGGAAGTGGGGAGGAGGAGGCTGGAAAGCACAGTGCAGGTACCTCTGCAGCACAAGTGGCTGCTTCCATACCCCCTTTGCCAAATCCTGGATCTACCCCTGAATTCAGAATAAAATCATAACAGTTGACCACACTTCATTGTTTTGTGCATATAATTTCCCAGAGGGATGGAGGAAACAAGGAAGTCAGGCAGACAGGAATACTCATTGAAGTGTGGGTGGGTGGAAACACTACAGTTCTTTTCCTGACCTTACAGTCAGCCTGGTGCCTTGAAAATGCCTTAGAGGAAGGCTTCAATACAAAAGATGCTCAGATGCTTACATAAGTGGAAGGTAAAACCTGGCCTCCATGCAGGAGCCCAAGTGTGAGGATGCAGATGTCCTGTACGTGTAGGCAGAAGTACCAGGTGCTTTGCACCACCTGAACAGCATGTTTCAGTTGCTAGATTGGCATATGGATCAATCCTGTGCTCCTCCATTGACTTGCCCTCACAACTGCACTCTGCTGGTCTATTCAAGGCTGGGCCAATACACTATCATGCACATAAGTACTGCAGGAATAATGGGGAAAGGAAGGATTAGTGTTCCCTGTGCCCTGGCCTGGCTGCTCTCCCCATCAGCTATTTTTTATCACATTCCACATATGGGTCTTCGGAGATAACATATTTTCTGGCCAAGAGATGGGAGTTGGAAAGACTGCTACAGGCCTCGTCAGCTTGATTGGAGGGAAAAAAAAAATTATCCCAATGGTGCATGACTCGTGAGCCAGCAGTCAGTGGATATACATGCTTCAAATGAAACATCCTAATACATGGTGACAGCCAGGACTTTTAATAGATCTCTGAGGGGGAAAAAATCCCAAATACTCAGATGCCAAAAGTGGGGGGAAATCTGGGAAACAGTAAGATGAGGAAGTAGGTTGCTCAGATCTGATAAAAGATAGCAGATCAGACAAGGATGTTGAATGCCGTTTTCACAGGAGGAAAAGACAGTGTCCTCTGGAGCTGCACATGATGAAGCATCATGTTACAGCTTGGGGAGATAAATGCCATACTATATTGAGATAAACCAAAGAAATGAGTCAAAGAAGAACTTTCCTTGCATATTTACCTAACAAAAAGTCTTTCACTTTCCTGATGAATTCCTTTGTGATCTCTCTGTCCATTTCAATGTGATTCTTAGCATTCTCTAGTTTCCCATTTAACTGTGAGCTTTCCAACTTGGTGTCTTCTGCTATTTTTCTGATGCTTCCAATCTGGAAATATTTTTAGATATAGTGGTATCCTTTTTTAATATTTAAATATCATTGCTTGGCAAACTTAGGTCCCATTTGAAACCACTAAAACAATCCTTATACAAGACTGAGGGACAGATGCTGGTCTTGCAGAACTTAGTGGGAGTTACAGCATTAGCTTCATTTGGACCAAACACCAAAGACTAAACAACATCTTCCTTCCATTTCCAAACACAGCTCAAAGGTTGCTATATTGAAGTTAAAAAGCCTACAGCTCTAGAACAAGATGCTGTACATCACTCAATATTGCAATTATATACTGTATGGAAATTCATATTAAAGAAAAGATATAACTTGTAATGATATTTCCCCCATCTGCTTGGAATTAATGTTAAAATTAGATTTAAAGGGACACTGTCAAGGCTATCAGAGTTTAAAAACATGCTTTTAAAAGTTGTAGGTTTCCATTCATTGTAGGCACTGAATTGATGGATTTTCTTTAATTAGTAATGATCTAACAGTTTAAAGAACAAAACAAATATTTTCTTTGTTAGGGGCCATACTCTGCGTTATATAAAGTTCCAAGCAATGCTTTTCTGCAATCCAAGGAGAAAGGAAATTCAGTTTCCATCTAATCACAAGGACAATGACAATAGCTTCCATTTCTGCTGCTTCTCTCATATCATGCTTCACATATATTATCTGATTCTCACAATATCCCTGAGAGAGTATAGCTATTTATTTTCTGTATTTTAGCAACATGGAAGCTGAGGCTCAGAGAAACTAAACGATGTGTTGCTAATTAACAAGCACATTTCTCCCTGAAATGCAGACCTTTAATGACTAGGACTAAAAGAAGCTAGCAAGAACAAATAATTTGTAATTTTTTTTTTCAGTTTAATCCATGCACAATTCTGACAGCACTTTGTACATAGTTTGACTGTTTCTGTGTATAGTCATTAAAGGATAGCTGACTACATGAAGGGTGCTGACAGATATGTAGCTCCCCATTGTAACTCATAGAACTTTGCATGAAGTGCCATGAGTTACAGCATTTCCCCAGACCCAACAGATGTTTGCTGTTGGATCTGGGGGCTGGGGGATTGAGTTTTAGCTTGGAGCAGCTGCATGTCTGAACCTCCCCCCACACCCTCAACTCCGGTGTTATCTTCAGAATGGGAGGGGGGAAGGGAAGGAGGGAGGGAGTTCCATCTGGGGTTTGCCCAGTCTGCGCTGGAGGGTGGGGCAGGTGGACTGAACCATAATGTGGGGGGACTCCAATCCACCCCCCACCCCCCAGTCCCTCCCCTCCCTTCTTTCCCTCTCATTCTGAAGGCAACACTGAGGGCAGGGCTGGGCTGTATCAGCCCAGCACTGGGGTCAGGGCTTGGCTGTATCAGCCCAGCCCTGATCCTGAGGCATGCTGACAGAAGTTAATGAAGGTGCTCTGCTTTGGAGCACCTACACCTGAACCCTTATGTAATGAGGATTCAGATTGTAAATGACCTTGTTACGTAGCAAAGTAAAACCCATCCAATGTATTTTAGTTTGCTACGTAACAAATTGCAACAGTGCATGGGGAGCTGGAAGCCCAGACGTGCTCAGGGAAGCTTGGGCTTGGTGGGCTTCCAGCACCCCATGCACCATCCCTGCTGCCTTCTCCCACCACCAGCACACCCAGCTGCCCTGAAGCCGCCTTTCTGCACTGTCTCAGGGGCAAGCAAGCCCATTACTGGGCGATCCCAGGCGGGAAGGCACCAGAGACGGTGCACAGAGTGCTGGAGTTTACCTGCCTTTCCTGCAGCAAGGGCGTGAGCTGTCTGTGGACCAAGCAGCCCCTGAGCTGCGTGGGACCCTGGACCTTCCCTCCCTAGTGGCGGTGGCCCCCAGGCAGCACCCGTCCACTAGCACCTTGCCTGGGCGGTCCCAGGGGGCGCTGCCACCATGGAGGGAAACACCAGGCCCTGCACAGCTCAGGGGCTGTGCAACCCGGTAGCAGCTCGTGCAGGCAAGTTACACTGAGGAGAAAAAAAAAAAGCGGTGAGGGGCCTGATCTTTTTCTTTTTTCCTCCCGGAGCCTACCTGCTTCTCCCGCAACTGGGGAGCTAACTGCCAGTGGGTCCTAAGCTGCAGGGGGGCCTGGTCCTTCCCTCCATGGCAGTGGTGCCCCCCCCAGGCAGACCCACCTGCTAGCAGCCCACCTGGGTGTTCTGGGGGATGCGGCCACCGAGAAACGAAGGGCCAGGCCCCCTGCAGCTCAGGGCCTGCTGGCATCTCACCCACCGGCTGTGGGAGTTGTGTGCAGGCTCTGGGGGAAAAAAAAGGATCATGCCCCTCACGGCTGTTTTTTTTCTGGTGGAGTCTTCCCATGGCAATGTGTAAATATGTGGGGAGGGGGGAGGGGCAGGGGGCAAGGTGAGTGAACTGATGGGGGGCCAATCACTGTGACGTGACAGAGTCCCCTAAATTGAAATGGTGGATTTTTAATCAGCACAATTAAAAACGGACCAGTTAAAAACCCACTGTTTCAATTTAGGGACTAAACTTACCCTGTCACATGTACAAGCAGCCATAGAGATTTGCTTTGGAAAACAATGATAGTATATAACCAGTTGCTCACTAATTTTGACAGTGTCTCTTTTAAACTAATAGTGCACTTAGCTTATGGACATGACAATTTTAATGACTCATGCTTATCATATGAATCACTACATTGTTTTTTACCTGCCAATAAATTCACAGAATGGGATAGATTTGATGGTACAGTACCTGCTTCTCAGGTTCTTGTAGCCAGCTAGCCAATTTTTTTAACAGCATGTCTGTTTCCACAGCTTTCTTGACTGCACTTGTAGAGAGAGGAAGAGCTCCACTACAGGATGGCCCACCACACTGCCTGTTTCCATAACTATCTCGACATAAAGCTCCCCCGCAATCTGCTATAACACATGGCAGGTTTCCTGGTAGTCCACAAATCTGAAATAAAACCATATTAAATATTAGGAAGCAGCACTTGTGTAGAGTCTTTATGATTCTGAAATGTAACAGCTTTGGGGAGCGGGGTTGGGGGGGTAAGGGACATTGGACTGGTGACAGCTTCCTAAAGGATACAAACATATTTCTCAAGTTATAGAAACAAACTGCCACTGAGACACTCTTCTTTAGGACAGTGGGCTGAGACTCAGCTGGCATATAGCACACAAAGCAATGCAATGGTGGATACAGTGAAGGAAGATCTTGGCCAAGAATGCTAGGCAACACAGCTACTCATACAGCTACTCATACAGCTGCTCATACAGAAAGGATATCTTCAGGTTTAATCTACTTTATAGACATCAAATAATCTACCTAAGTTTGGGTATTTGACAAATACCAAGTTAAATAAAGTTAAATCAATTGACCAGTCAAATATCGGTCAAAATTGTAAAAAATTGCCAATAGGTCTAAATAATACACAGAAAAAGCACAAATTTTCCATTAAGAAATGCGTCAGAAAATAATAAGATCATATTTCTGTCAAGAAAACTATAAAAAAAATGTAGGTTTTTTGGTAAAATTGCTATAATTTTTGACCAGTCAAAAATATGCAGTCAATTGACCGGTATATTGAAAATATTGACTGCCTTGTCAACCATAAATCTAGTGACTACTTGATTAGTCACTGGGTAAAAAGGTCATCCCAAGTTCAGCAACCCATTGCGTCAGTGTTGTTAAGGCACACCAGGTTCTGTCGCCAGCCCCGCATAAAGACATAGTATGGCTAGTGTTCATATCTGGCTACCTTGGACTTTCCTGCCCAAATTCATTTAAAGCTGGGTCACCTGGAGGTAGCCTCAGGCTCTAGACCTGAATGGATCTCAGATTCATACTTCTGAAGTTGTAGTCAAAAACTTTAACCACTCTGTCTTTGCACTCCATCTTACCACAGCCTGGTGACAAAGATGGTTCATATCTAAAACACAAATCAAACCTTAATCATGTGAAAATACTACGGGATAATAATGAAGAAACTGTCAGCCCAGCTTAGTTTAGCCTGGTTATGAAATATAGTTAAAGTCAAATCTATGCTACAGTTGGGAACCAGGCTTGAAGCCATGCTAGGCAGCTGAGCAGTGCTCAGATTCTGTGACATGATTGCTTATGGACTTGGCAGGGCTTTGATGTCCATGCTGAGGAGACAGGGCCTGTTTTTAAGGCCTGATCACAAGAACCACAAGAAGAATGAAAGATTAAGTTGACCAGCATGACCATGTTGTCCAAGTATTTTAATACTGATGCTTAGACTGAAACCTGCCCCCACAAGGTCTCCTTTTTCAAATTTAAAATAAATGTAAAATTTCCTTAAAAATAACTCCTTTAGATCCGTGTTACTGACTGGCAACAGCAAAACCTAGTATTTTATTTCTTTCCCCATTTAAAGAAAACCACAACCCTTTACCTTTTCATTAAATTTATGGATATCTGGAGTCTTGATCATGTTGAGTTGTTCCAACATGTAAATCTTTTTTGAGGCCTGATCATCTAACATAGCAAGTACTTTATCTCTGGTGTTTCTGGAGTCCCTAATCAAAGCAGTTATTTCACTGATTTTCTCTTCAGCAGATGATGATGTTTGGTAATACTTTCTGATATTGGTGAAAGACTCTACACAAATAGAAATAACATTTTATATAGGCAAGGCTGACAATCATTATTGTATTGAATAAATGCATTCTAGATAAATGCTAGGCTGAACTAAGCTGTCAGCTGGGCTTGGCTGTGGATGGTACGGTAAATTATACCCCAGAAGGCAGGAACTGTGATTTGCTCAGTCAGGTTTGTGAACCTTTGTTCAGCCAGGGAGAGTGTTTTAATTTTAGCAGGATTTATTGATGCCAACTAATGACAGCTGAAAATGAATATAATTGCACCTGCATCATTTTTGGAAACACCAGCTATATCGCCAGTTAAAGATACAAAGGTATGAATGAACTCTGATTAATGGTTCTGACAGATACTGATTTATACTCATCAATAGCTCAGCAGCTGATGTCATTATGTGTTAGAGGAGAATGGCATACACTATCATTTATGCTGTTCTGAGCTTGGTATGGTTGAAATGTAACACCCACTAGAGTTCTGTAACTCTTATTCTGACATTTAATCCCTTCCCTATTCAGCAGAATTTCTGAAAGTTAAATAAATGTTTTACTGAAGTGGGGGCTAATTTAGACATACTGCTGAAATTTCTGACTTTCATTTGACTCTGAAAAAAATGCAGTTTCATGGCACTTTTTAAAAATAGTGTTTGTCTGTTAAGCCCATAAGCATGGCAAGTCCTTTCAAGTCTGAATCTTTCGTGCTTGTTTAGCTCAAATTTTCATATATGTTAGAAACACGAAGGTTTGGAGCAAAAATAAAGTATTTACTTAAAAAAACTATAGCTTAAAATAGGTTAAAGAGAACTGATTTCTGAAAGCCAAACATTTTACAAAACTAAAAATTCCAAGAAAAAGTTGTGAAGGTTCAACAAACTCCAGACAGCCCTGGGTTCCTCCATAGCAGGGATCTCCCTTCAGTACAAGTCCAGAGCAGGGCCTTGAAAACATGCCTCTGGAACTGTAGTAAGACAGACACCTTAACTACTCTGCCCCTAGACTCTGGCTTGTCTCTACGTACTTGATGGAAAGACTGTTTTACAATGAAGAATTGCATTGTGTGAATGATTTACAATGTTTTGCGTCTTCATGAACTAGCCCACATACATTTTTACATGCATAGTTTATGAATCAGAAGGAGCAGGGGATGGTAAGGTCTCAGAGTTGTTCTATTTTAGAAGCAGCATCTTACCACGGACTCGATTTACATTCCAGAAAAGCTTATTGATCATGTTTTAATGTCACAACCGCTACAAAGCCCAGGGCCAGAGCTGTAAAGATGTTAATTTAATGAGTATTTATATATTGGGAACATTCATTTGAGGACATTGATGTTCTTGCCTTTCCAGCCGTTCTAATTTAATCAATCATTTAAATGCTGGCATTTCTCAGACTGCTAGCCAAATGAATGCTTGGGAGAAGTCTCTACACTACTGAACCACTGTTCTGTGGGCTTCTCTGCAAAACAGACAACACGTGGATTCCCGCTGCTTCTAGCTTCACCCTGTCCACATCACATTCCCCAAAGCCACCATAAATGTAGAGGAAATAACCCTGGCATGGAGCTGGCACTCAGCTAAAGATGGGCTGCTGAGGTGTTCAGATAGCAGGCAGCCAGTCTATTAATAGTACTGCTTGGAAACAAGGTGAATGGGTACATGGGGCCTTGAATGAACATGCAGTCTAAACTGGGAACCTTTCTTATGCATATTTTAGATCAGTAGTTCTCAATCTATTTGCCATAGTGGGCCACACTTGCAGCTCTCCATGTGTTGTGGGCTGCACCCACACGACTTACTTCTATGTATCCATTTAAAAAATGTATTGTATCTGTTGTCTGACAGTAATGCAATACAGATCAGTATTCTGTAATACCTCCAATGTCTACACTGTTAAATGTCTTTACCATTTTTTAACAGGATGTCACATGGCCCACAGCAGTGCACTGATTGGACTGCATACAGCTCCCAGGCTACAGGTTGAGAACCACTGTTTTATACAAATGTCAGTCTGTAGTAGCATAAGTAGGGGTGGGGGAGAAGGGCATCTGCCCTGGGCACCAAATTAGGAGGGTGCTAGCATTGCGTCCCTCCCAAAGAATCTGTGCCCCAGCAGCAAATGTACTCCTACAGCTTCCCATATGGAGAACTCCAGAACAGTCCCCAGGTGCTGCTGCTGCTTTAAGACAGGATGACCATAACAATTTAAGGGAAATCCAGAATGGGGGTGGAGGCGGTAGAGGGCAGGGCTCTGGGCAGGACAGTGCAGCTGTACATGCACACTCATGCCCTGCCCCTGCAACGCCCCACAGCTCCCAAGAGTGGAGTTGGGCAGGGGACACAAACACATACACAGCCCCAACCCTGCCGCTCCCAGAAGTGGGGCTGGGCAATGACCCTGCGGCTCCTTTTCCCCGCCCCCAAGTCTACTGGGCAAGTGACTCCACTCACAGCCCAGCAGAGTCTGGACCAGGGAGCAGCCCATTAGCTGGACTCCCTGGAGAAGGTTGAAGCAAAAGTCCAAGATTCACCCAAACCCACCTGCACATGCTTGGCTCCTGAGTCAGGAGCTGGGCACGTCTAGGAGTTTTCCACCAATCCAGGACTTTTCCTTCATTTTTCACCAATGGCCGGGACGCTAAGACAGCCTCTGAAATTCAGGACCGTCTTGACCAGTCTGGGATGTATGGTCACCCTACTTTAAAAGCACAGTCAGGGGAGGCAGAGAATGAGGCAGCAGCAGGTCAGCCAGACTGTTTTGCAGTTCCTAGCATGGGGAAACCATTGGCCTGCTCTTGTTGTTAGGGCATCTTCCTCACACTTTCCCCTCTCCCCTATTCTCCTGCAGGATTTGAGTAGAGTGCCAACTTTGCTTGTTACACTAGTGCTATTCTGCAAAAGGTTAAAAAGGTGAAACGGGCTTGCACCTGAGCAGGGGGCATCAAGGTCTGAGCTACAAAGGTCCATGTTCCATCAGGGTTTGTCATTTAGGTTAGGATCTTCCTTGGCCACCCGCTTAAATAGTTCCCCCAGGTATACTGACTGGTTTAAGGAAGTCTGTGGAAGAAATGATCCTAAATATAACATAGGAAAGCTGTGTTGAAATGCTACTGCACTACTCCAAACTGAGAGGCAGAGCACCAGGGGATACTGCAAAGCAGCTCAGGAGAGGAAAGCTCTAAATCCTAATCAGCTGTGCTGTTCTCTGAAGCTTTAGTTCCTTTTATCATGTTTCATTTCTTTTATCTTCCTTTGCCCCATTTTATTCTTATGCAAATGAAACCATAAGAGACTCTGAATTTAGAGCAGTGCTGGTACAGCCCTGAGCACATTGTCTGCATGCCACTGATAAAACAACAATAAAAAAACACCCCCTGAATATGGAATTTCTATAAATTGGAATTCATTTTTAAATTTCTGGCAGTATTGTAAAATATGCTTCTTATTGTGTGCTGCACTGTTTGAAGTACCAGCCATAGTTCTTCAAGGTCTGTCTTTCCTGGAAGTAAATTGCTTTGATCAGTTAGTGTAGTGTAGACCAGGGGCTGGCAACCCGCAGCCTAGATCTAGCCCACAGAACCATTGGATCCAGCCCATGGAGGCATTCAGCAGTGGGGAGCTTCAGGTTTGAGCACTTTGTATGCCACTACAGAGACAAAAAGTGGCAGTGGCCATGTCTTAGTGCCTGTCTACCAAAGGTTGACTACGCCGGGTGTAGGCTGTTAGGTACTCCACTGTTCTTACTGGATGAACTAGCATCTGCATAATTATTTCCAATTTGGTCATAAAGACTAGCTTATGAAACAGGCATCAGATCCACTACTATTAACAGCCAATCCAAATTATCCTGAACAAGAGTTAATAGCAAACATAGTTCATGTAAACACGTAGCATAAATACAACTCTACTTCTAGCACTGGACTGCTGCTCTGTGATGTTGGGCAATTCTCTTTCCCACCTTGAGCTCTGTTTTGCCTTCGTGTACAAACTGTGAGGATACAAAACTGGTCTGCTTCCTGATTAAATAATTCTCTTATTTAGAAAGATCTTTACAAAGGTTTACAAAGGACAGTCAGGGGATAGTGCAGCTAACTGGTTCAGGGGAAGTGTCATGTTACTGCCACTGTACTGCATATGGGTATCCAAGCTAGTTTGACTATTTGTATTTGCCACTATATTGAGTCACAATATCAAAAAACAAGATTAGGACCCTGGTACTTGCTCATTCTCAATCCTTTAATTTAGGCCACTAATCCAGGGGGCTATTGGGCTCAGCTTTCTCCAGGGTTCTGACTGGTATGACTGACTTCTGTCTGACATTCTGCCTATTTAAGATAGCTGAATTTTGAAATTTTGAAGCTGGTGTTTAAGAAAAGTAAAACATCATGGAATGCTTAAACCAAAGGACTGAAAACCATGCAGAATGAATTGGTGAAAAATTGCATGTGAAACTGAATAAAATGTATTAATGAATTCTGAGTAGCTGTTGGCCTTTTTACCTTTGAGATTCAAATAATTAAAACTGTGATATAGATGCATTTTCTGTTGCAGAACTGCATATAGCTGGTCAGTTTCTTTCCAAATATCTTCTATGTTCCCAATGAGGTCAGGAAATTGATTCATTACACTGTGATACAGGTCCACTTGAGTGACTTTTTGCCTGCAGAAGGAAAATATATTTTACACTACCCATGAGAGACAAATTATTTTAAATGAAAACAGCTTATCTTAAAGAAATATTCAAATGTGGCATTATATTTAGTTCACTCTTATGACAAAGTAAAAAAGGGCAGCATTTAAATATATGTAAAGTCCAATTTTAGCAACATATTCTGTAAGGATGGCATTCTTCATGTATCAAGGTTGGATTTGGTATAATAAAAAACCTATTGTGATTTACTAATCTTCTATTCCCAAAATGCATAAAGCCACAAAACGATATTACAAATTGTAATGAAAACAATGTCTGAACACCAAATGCCTTAATAAACCCCCAAATGTACGTGCTCATGTATGGGTTTGCATTTGTAAAATGAGCAAATCGCAACCCATCTTATTAGGCATCACCCACACTATTAGTGTATGCAAACAGAAGTTCCTAGTTTTGCAATCACATGATTGATCTTGGATTTGAAATCTGGACTAAAAATGTGTCTAACCAAGTTCTCTTAACTTGTCTAATGTACATCTTTCACCTGTTGTTTAGTATTTAGCTAGAGAGCTCCACTCTCTTTTCCAGTGCTTCCTCTTAGCCTTGAGCTTCTTCAAATGTCTTTAAGTGTTTCATACATGAAGTGTTAGTAAGTGCTGCATTGAACCCTTTCCTTTTGTCCATTGCTCTGAATGGAGAGTCTACTAATGCCAAGATGTACATTATAGCTTAATTTCCCTCATTATTCTGTAAGAGATGCCAGTACTCCATTAGTCATATATTAGTAATGCATTAATATAATGACTTGATCCTATAATGCTCTTGCACATTAGTTAGCTATTAATTTATGCATTTAAATGCTGACCGGCTTATTAATAGACAAATCTCTCTGTTTTGCAGGCATAGTGGAAGGTAAAGACAAGATTCATTCATGCATTGACATTATGTATAAACATATGTATACATTATGTATAGACATTGTGTCTGACACAAGAAAGGCTCTGGGCTGCTTGTATTTGCATTACCAGCCTGACTGAGTGGATCTGACAGCTATTGCAATCTTTGTGGGGGTCTTAAGGACTCTGATCAACAGGAGGTTGACATTTACATAAGAACGTAGAAGTGGAACTTCTTAAGCCTTTAGCTACGCACAATTTAGACCAGCCTTGAGGCAACATAAAATAATACTAGGCCAGGGGACGGACCAGTCTACAGGAGCTCTTGGCTTTTGGGGAAGTGAGAAAGTAAAGCCATCTTTTCGCTTTCCTCATTTCAGTTGCACCTGACAGGGTTGTGATGAAGCTGTGGATTTGGGATAAATAAATGTATTGGGGTTTTTTTACAAGTACACTGAAGATCATTAATTGATCATCTAACACTTGTAACGTGATCAGAAATAGGACTAAAATACATTGTGCAACTAATTATGTACAATGGAAGACTACTCTTCCACCCCAGAAATATGTATAGTGCAATCCTATTCTACAAAGAAAGTGTTACCGAATGTAATCATAGAAATCCTTGATGTTTAAGAACATTTTCAGTGAAAGAACAGGACTTTTTAAAATTCTTCCTATTTCAGAAATCATCACTTCAAAGCTTTTAAAGTGTGTATCACAGCTGGGCATTGTCTGTTTCTCATCTTCCAGATTTGCAACAAATTTCATTAACCCTTGAACAGCTTGAGAAAGGGCAGTGATTTCATGATCCCACTGATCAAAACAAAGATGACAGCGAGGGCATGTGGGGAATTCTTGCTTGAAGCCTCGACCACACTGGTCACAGAACCTCCCTGTGATGCCAGCATGGCAGCTGCAGGCTCCAGTGGCTTTGTCACATGAGTTGAGTGTTCCTTCCTGGTTACACTTACATGCTGCAGAGGCAGAAAACAGCATAAGTTTGTTTGTTTTTGTCTTTCAATTTTAGATAAATAACAGTGGTAAAATATTTTTAAAAATAACCCAGAAAATACTGTTCAGCATAGTAAAACAACCTGCCCCTCCTTTTACTGACATACTGTTGTTTGACCATTTTGGCTGGTATTTTCAAAGGTGTCTAAGGGATTTAACTTCCTTAATCAGATAAAGCAGGATAAAGATTTTTTTGTTTGCTGTAGATTTATATATTAGTTCTATCTTCATACTCCTATGCTTTGCTATCATCTTCTTGTGACTGTAAGTTAGTGAAGAAATGATCATTTCTGTTCTTGAGATGAGTTAGGATAAATAGTAGTGTTCTTAGAAAAAGCCTCAATACCATCTCCCTTGGGACCTGCAGAGATGACAGGACAAAGAGCTAGAAAATGTACCAGGCTGAACAATGTTGAATTTGATCTAATAGGTCTTTTCCAGCTCTAGCTTACAATTCTGTGATAACCTTACATATTCACCAGGGTTGTGTATCATGTTTAGAGAGGTACTTAGCCATGTTAGTCTGATGGACTAAGCTACTACTTATGAAAGTTTATGCACATCTAATTTAGTTAGTCTACAAGGTGCAACTCTACCTTGCCTTATGCCAAATATCAGGTATAACACTAAAGCAAAAGTATTAAAGTCGATTTCTCTATTTGTACATCTTGTTTAGTATATGAATGTGAATATCGCCCATTAAAGCAATTGCAGATTCTGGTTCAGTCTGTGTCATCTGGCAGTACTTACAAATACAATGTGTTTGTGGATTGCCAAAGTAATTTTCCTCACATTCATCGCAGTGCCTTCCACGGTAGCCTGATTTACACAGACATTGGCCTGTAAACTGTAAAGGCAGTCAAGAGTAAATAACATATATAATGAATAGGAGGAAGAAACAGCACCAAGCACACTAATAACCATTTATTTCAGTAGACATGTTTTTTCTCTGAGATTTACAATATATAGCTGCACAAAGAATGCACCAGATCTGTTCCTGTGCATTTCTGGAGCACAGTGGTTACAGAGATCTGGTTCAAGTTTCCTAGTTGCTTAGTATCATATGGCTAGAGTTTGGGAAACAGCATAGATGGAAATGAAAACAAAAAGGATAAGGAGAATGATTTTAGTTTCCTAATATGAAAGTTTTCACACACTCTAGACCTCCATACTGACTTTGACAAGGTACATGGGAGGGCGTTTTAAATGTGAATGACTGTTTCCAAACCATCTGAGGTAGCATGAACGGTGTGTGCCCCTGGCGGCTGGGGT